GCCACCCATGGAATGTATAAGGAGTCCAAGTCAGTATCGGTGCAGCGAATGAGTACATGGGTGGGGTGCGTCCCTTGGTTTGTCAGGGAAGGAAGTGGGCTATTTCCCTGGTCGGCGGTCTCAATTACTCAATGTGGTATTGATGGTGTCCTGTGATGTGTTCCGTATAAATGTCTCTCGACCACCTGATGGTGTCATACACCATGAGCTGTCTCATGAGCCGGGTGTAGTGTCGACCGACTCCGCACGCTGTCAGTACCGGCTCGTTGTGGGGGTCCCACGAGCCCAGGGCTCCCACAATCAGTATCTCCTCACCTACAAGAAGATTAGGACCTGAAGTGACAGAGGTCACTGAGTGCCCCTTGGGAAATCTGTGTTGAGAGAAAGAGACTTTAGAAAAAGTTCAACAGAGAGAAGTTAAGCTGCAGCAAGTGCAGTTGCTGGAACCCCACTGAAGCGGTAACTCCAAGGTGTCTTTGACAGTGGACAGGGCTAAGCTGCAATAGTAACTTGAATGCAGAATCAAGCTAGGTGAGCATATTTGCCTGGCTGGGAAATGTAAGACTTGGGTTTTGGGAGATCCAGGTGGCTATCGTGTGGCTGGCTGATAGAGAGGCACAAAGAATTCTAGGCTGTCTGACCCAGAGGCCTCTGGTTTTGACATTCAGCTTTCTCCTCGCTGTGCCTCTGCCCGCGTTTTCGATCTGCATGGGAGCATGTATTTCTGCGCCTTCCAATAAAGGACCCAAAGGTCTGATGCTCGTGCTCACTTTCCGATGTTTCTCCCGGGCAGGAATTGTGGTGTTGGCCTCCCATGTCTCAGGATTCCAGACTCTTGTGTGCTGAATGCAGACCCACACCATGTCATACAGACAGCGTGTGATCTCCTTGCCCCCAGCTGCACCAGACTCCCCTGGCTCCTCTTCCTTTCAAGTTCCACTTCAGACTTCCCCTGTCTGGTTTTGAACCTCTTGCTAGCCTCACTCCACTCGGCTTCCTACTCCCTCTGCAAGCCTACTGCCCTCCCCTGTCCCACCTCATTCCGTGTTAGCCCCTTCTTGGTGTGAGAGAACCACAGCTTCTGCCCTCAGGCCTTTGTATCTCTCTGCCTCTTCAGCTCTACACCACCTTCTTCCAGATCTCTGCTGAAATCATAAGTTCTTTTCTCCGTTACTTACACCTGTTCCTTTCGCTCTTCCTTTTGTTCTTATTTGAGTCAGTGGTTGGGTTACTTATCTAGAATGCAGTTTTATCTGAAGGACACTACAGAAACTCAGATTGTATATTGTGATGTGTCTGTAACATTATTGCTGGCCTATAACTTAAAAGAAACAAATTATTGAAACCAAAAATGCCAAGGTTGCATACTCCCTTGAGCATAACCCTCCCACATTTGTTTTGGTGACCTTGAGCAATAGTGTGTGTTCCCAATGTCGCAGATAATAAATAATTGACACCACTCTTGCCTGTCTAAACACAGCCTGTGGTGTGTAGGGTG